AACTTAAGTTTCAGCCCAGCCTGAGCCCTCGCAAAATTCACCTCGCTCCATCCACGGCTCCTAGAACGCGCAAGAATGCCGCTGACCCGCACTGCGCCGTGTGCTGTTGCTGTGGAGGACGAGTAAAGGTGGCAGTCGCGGGGGACTGTCACCGTCGCACCCACAAATTTTAAAGATATTATCAGTAGTCGTGACTGCTTGCAAAACGCCGATCATCGTCGTCCCACGGCCACTGCCAGTAAGTCGTCAAAGCGAGGAAAGAAAGTAAAAGTTCCAGTTCTCGAAGCCAGTTCTTGAGAAGAGGTTACCGGAAAGCCTAGGAGGAAAATGCATGTATGTAAACGAGTTTGCTTTGTTCAGTCCGTTGCCGCGAGGACGTAAAAACACAGTGCTCTTGAATTGAACGCAAATTACCGGCTTCAAGTTGGCGACCAACGTCGAGCAAAAGCCTGCGAGCACAGCCACCTACTGCGCCCTTCCGGAACAGGTAATTCCGTTACCATAAACGGACGTGCACCCACATGCATCAGACGGAAACACACGCCAGAGCTTCAGAGGAAGAAATGTTAACTAGATTCTCTACTGAATACCAGAGACGTGATCAAACAATACACTATCTTTGAGCACCTCCCTCGCCCTCGCCCTCCCACTCCCACTCCTCCCACTCCGAAGGTCACCGCACCTAACGCTTAGCGTGTGTATGTATAGATAAAATACCAAACACCAGTCCAAACTCGTACACCCCTTCCCTGCGTTGCTGTTTTCTCCCCATCTCCCCCATCTTCCTCTCCCCACCCCACCCCCCCACCCCCCACCCCCCACCCCACGCCCACAAAGCCCAAAGGCCAACGCCACACTAATGCCCATGACTAAAATGGAACTGAAACCCACCCCCCTCCCGCCCACCCCCAGGGAACCCCCCGCCCTGGAAGAACTGCGCAAACGGATGCCCGCCCTGCTGGAAGGGGTGTCCGCCCGACTGCGACATGGGGTCGTTCGGGTCCTCGCCGTTGTCGAAGCGCGCGCGGAGTTCTGCGTGACGACGGGTTAGCAAGCAAGAAGCGTTTGGCAGGGAAGTGCAGGAGGGCGCGGAAGGATGCGAAACAGACAACTCACCCGGATTCGACAAAACCTCATACGCCTCATTCAAATTCGCCATCTTCGCCTCCGTCCCGCCCTTGTCCGGGTGCGCGGTCTTGGCTGCCGTGCGGCTGAAGGTAAAGGTAAAACAAATCATGATCAGTTATCGGTCTTCGGAAGCGAGGCAGGAAGAACGGAAGCAGGACAGGAACTCACTACGCCTTCTTGATCGTCTTCGCATCCGCGTCGCGCGCAACACCAAGCACCTTGTAATAGTCCTTGGCGCGACTCTGCTTTAGCAGACGCTGGGCCTTCTGCAGGCGGGCTTGGAACTAAGGTGGGCGTCAGTATAGATAACGAAAAACGAGCAAAAACGCGACTCACATCCCGATCACTCCTCCCCGTCGCCTCAAACGCCTTCTCCAAAAGCCTCACCCCCTCCTCCCACTCCTCCTTCACCACCGCCGCTTCCCCCAACCCGCGCAACGCATCCGCATCGTTCCCCCCCTCCTCCATCTCCGCCAACTTTGCACACCACTCCTCTCCCTTCCTATACATCTCCAACTGCGTATGCCCCTTACACAACGCCCTCAACAGCGCCCTCCTCCTCGGACTCGTCTTCCCCGCATCCGGCAGCCTCACCTCCCCCTTGCCGCCGTCCTTCCCCCCAGGAAGCCCAAACAGCCCCCCAAGCTTCTCCGCCCCAAGCTGCTCCTTCATCGCCTCCTCAAACCGCACATACAAATCCCCCTTCTTCCCGCCCCCAGGCCGCAACGTCCCAACCACCCCCCGCCAATCCCCACTCCCCTCCTGCCCCTCGTACATCGCGAACCCCCGCTCCAGCGCCTTGAACAGCCTATGCAGCGGCAAACACACCTTCGACTCGGGGTCCGAGTGCAGGCACGATTTCAGTGCGTTCGCGGGTATGGGCGACGGGAAGGGCAGTAAAAAGTAGCTTAAGCGGAAGATGAGGGCATGCAGGGCGCCGAGGGGCGGGGAGGTGGAGGACGGCGGGAGCAGCGACGTGAGGCGGCTCATATCCCCCACCGCGCCCTCCACATCGCCCGTCCCCAGCCCGCACTCCACCCGCGTACTCCGAATGGCGACAGAGTGCGTCGCGATGCGCAGCGCGCGCGTGGCGCTCTCGGCGCACGCGGTCCACAGCTGTGCTTTGCGCTCTTTGAGGGCTTGGGCGGCGGCGAGCTCCGCCTGCTCGATGTCGGCGAGGAGCGTGTCGCGGTCGGCGAGCTCTTTTTCGCGCTGGGGCGAGGCGGAGGCGGAGGAGGAGAGGGCGGCGGTGAAGGCGGTTAGGGAGGCGCGCGCGGCGGGGAAGTCGCCTTCTTTGGTGTGGATGCGGGCGGCGGCGAGGTGCGCGGGGGGGAAGGGGAGAGGTGCGAGCGCGAGGACGCGCGCAAAGTCGTCGAGGGCGAGGGGGTGACGCCCCAGGGAGAGGTGGGCGGTGGCGCGCTTGTAGAAGAGGATGTAGTCGAGGGGGGATTGTTCTGCGAGGATTAATGAGCATTTTTGAAGAGAAGAAGGGTATAATAAGGAGGATGATATGGTGCGACACGAAGGCGGCCGAAGGAACACGGATCGGCAAGCAGTATCACTGAGCAAAGCGACTTTGAAGGCCGCCATAAGCCTGGCCTAGTCCCGGGAGACAAAATACGACGACAGACGATGAAGCAGCAGCGCCGGCGCAGTGAGGGTTCATGCGTGTCTAGGATGGAAACGAAAGAACGGGCAGGAAGGGTGCGACGGTACGAGGGCCGCCAGAACGCGCGATGTTCCCCGAATATGGGCCCGACCGAAGACGGAGCGAGGCTGGCGACGGTGTGGACACGCCCATCGACAACGCGCCGGCAGAGAAGAACGAGTCTCCGCCGTTCACGCGCACCACAGAAGATATAAGTAGGCCCAGTACCCGCCCTCGATCGTGCAGTGACGATCGACACCCGGGACGAAGACGAAAGTAATAAGGCAAGCGCCCGAATCGGGATCGTACGGGTGCGGCCAATGTCCAATCGCAGACGGTGCGATCGGGAGCCTAGTGCGAAGCCAGTGCGAATAGAATGGATACGAGCAAGTACCAATCATGATACTGCGCGAATGCCTGCGAGCGACGCAGGGAACACGATAACTCCTGAGTCCGCATCGGCGGCGCGCCCGCACCGGCACGCGAAGTCCGAGGATCGGCCGCCGACCGGCGTAGCACGTCGTCCTCGCCACAACCGGCTGGACCTACGGCCCACGAGCAACGCAAAAAGCGAACGAGGTCCAGACTCCTCTCCCAAAGGAAAGAAGGAGGTATACGCGAGTCCGCACCAACACAGGAACGCTCGTCGCGAACGTCGTCCCTCCTCGGCCCCGATGCACCACTGCGCGAATTCGCTCACACGGCGCCGCTCCGTCCGCAGCGAAGTCCGACCGTCACGCCGCCAGCGCCGCCCCCGCCTGCGCACACCGGAAAGCGGGACAGCGACGTCCATAGAACGAAAGACAGAAAACAAAACCCACCTATCGCCTCGCTATACACCCTGGCCGCCTCGCTAAACTGGCCCGTCGACAGCAGCACGTTTGCGCGCGTGATGAGGGGCTGCAGGCCCGGTGGGTAGAGGCCGCCCGCCGCTGCGCCGCTCCCGGTGCCGGAATTCGTTGGTGGGTCGGTAGCGTCATCGGCGAGAGAGGGGGCAGCGAGGAGAAGGAGGGGGATGAGGGAGAGGGAGAGCAGGGAGAGGGGGGAGCGCCGGGGAGTGGGCAGGCGCATCCTAGGTGTATAGCAGTCCTAGAGTCGTAGTAATTCGGTGTGGAGCTCCTAGCCGAGACCGAGACCAAGCAGTAATCTGGCGTCGAGGCGAGTCGGTGGACGGAGACCAAGCAAGAGTATAGGGAGAAGCCCAGCGAGGGGAGAGGAGGAAGGAAGACAAGGGAGTGAGAAGTGTCGAATGTTGAATATTAGTGGAGCGCGATTCGCTGCCGGCCCTAAACAGGCCACGTTTGCGCGACGTGGGTTGTTTGTCGGGTAAACATCGCCGGGCCGAGAGATAGGGGTCCTACCGTCTTGCGCAGGAGAAGGCTCCTGAGGCCGTGTGAGGCGACCCGGAAATACTGAAGGTTGAGGTTGAGGACCACACAATAAGTAGTGACCGTACGCCTGAATCGTCAACGAGACCAGATGTGGAAGTCAATCTTGGCGTAACGAAGAAAGCGGGAAGCAAGATTGAGGGCTGCAATAGCTGGTGGGCAGGAAAAATTATCCAAGTCGGGCAAGAGGTGGATGAAGGGTTTAAAAAATTACTGGTGAGGCGAACATTGAGTCCTAATCAGCTATGCCTCGAGGACGAATTCTGCCAGCATTTATACCCTTATTGGGTACATTGAAACGACGGGGGAGATATATGATGCGAATGGACGACGCTGAAAAAAGGTCTGAATCCTCGTTCTTCGCCACGGGTTGTTGTCGCGGTCTGAATGAGTTCTGATGTCAGCGTCCAGTAAAAGGAGCGATCGAGGTCATTGGACGGGTGAAGGCCTCACGACGCGTTGAGTCAAAGTTTTCTCCCCCGCAATCTTTGAGCACTCCCGGGCCCCACGACGCGCTCGTGCCACCGGTCCTCGAACGATCGCCGTCGCGCATTTCGGTAAGAAATGAAGACCTCACCCGTCTAAGGCGCGTCAAAAGTCGAACAGTATAGCTTCAGGGACCACTGAGGAATCCCATAGCGAGAATTGAGGCCCAGAGAGCGATGTGGTGGAGGAAGGGAGAAACGCGAGATGTCACACGTGACCTGTCACGAAAAGCAGTACCGGTACCAAAACCGGGAAACCATCGCCTATTGTGGTCTCCATGCAAACATTTCAGAGTGTCATAGGAAAGGATACGCCGTGGGTTGGCGAAAAAACTGTGGACCCCCCAATTACGACTCCGCCCGGAATCGAACCGGGATCTTCCACTCTGAATACAAAAGCCTAGCTCCAACATTTGAAGCAGATGCACACCATGTGCAACAGAGCCTTACTGACCAGACTCAAACTCTGGTATAGTGTGGAGTAAAACCAGCTGTGAGTTTGGCTTAAAGAGTTACATGCGGATGCTCGGGCATCTCGGGGATGTTCCATTTGCAGCGCGAGAAGTACTGAATTGTACATAAGATGAATTTCATGGCAAGCGAGAGAGTAGTGGACAATCGAAGGGAGAAAAATTGTGGGCTGTATTAGAGCAGAGCAAAACCCTGAGATGACCCCGCCCGGAATCGAACCGGGTCCTTCTGCTGCGATTTAAAGAAGACAATACTCCTGGCGGGTGCACACCTTGTGCTGCAGGGTCTTACTGGCCAGAACTCGGACTCTAGCATCGTGTGACGAAAAAACCACCTGCGAGTTTGGTTTAAAGAGTTACATGTGGATAGTCGGGCATCTCGGGGATGTTCAAGCTCTAGTTCGAGAAGTTATAGGTGCGGAAACGTGTAAGCAAAAAGGCGGCGAGCAATAGAATCGGAAAGAAAGACTCGGAACAGTTGCATAGGGGAGAAAAATAGTATTTTGGCCTGTTGGGCGCACATGACCCCGCCCGGAATCGAACCGGGACCTTTCACTTGCAGGTGTCGAAAACCTCGCAAAGTACAGTGAATGCACACCATGTGCTGCAGAGTCGTACATGGAGTTGTTGAGTGAGCCCGAGATTATACCACAAACCGAGTCGAGGTCAGGCATCTCGGAGGAGTTGAAATGATGCATCTCACTTGCAGCAGTGAATGCACCCGTGTGCTGTAGTGTCTTGCTGCCGATAGCTAGTAGTGTCATTGAGTGAGAACAAAACTGCAAGTAGCATGAATGAATACAACATCAGAAGAACCAATTATATATCACCTGGATTGAACTCCGCCCCCCTCTCAGCAAAATTGGGATCAATGGCGCCGGCAGACTCATGCTTGCAAGACAGTACACTCGCGTGGACAAAAATCAAGCCCGGGAGATGAATAACGACCCCGCCCGGAACCGAACCGGGACCTTTCGCCTGCAACGAGGAAGACCGTACTCCTGGCGGGTGCACACCATGTGCTTCAGGGTCTTACTGCCCATACTTTTGCTCTGCTCCAATGTGGAACGAAGTTCCAGTGACCTCCGAGGTTGACTTGAAAAGGCCAAAATGGGGACAATCAGGCATCGTGGGATGTTCAAGCTCCAGT